TCTTTTATTTTGAAACAGTTCTCCATTTATTGGATACTGGTGTTGCTAAACTGTGGACACCATTATGTGACTTCCTGTGAACATCTTTCTCTTAGCGGTAGTTCCTTTAGTGTGGCTAGTCCTCCCCACAGCAGGAAAGGGTCCCACCCTGCAGTGTGCTCAGACTTGTGGGAAGGGTCAGCAAGCAGCTCCTTTGTGAGAGGCCCTCTGGGCTCTGGTCCTCATGGAAATGCTGTCCTTTTTTTTTTTTTTTTTTTTTTTTTTTTTGGTTTTTCGAGACAGGGTTTCTCTGTAGCTTTGGAGGCTGTCCTGGAACTCACTTTGTAGACCGGGCTGGCCTCGAACTCACAGAGATCTGCCTGCCTCTGCCTCCCGAGTGCTGGGATTAAAGGCGTGCGCCACCAACGCCCGGCAATGCTGTCCTCTTTTAAGCGTTCTGTCTGTTTAGACATGAGAGGTGAGCCCTTGCCACAGCTGGGCTAGGATGCATGTCACAGTCCTTAGAGGGGCATAGTTTCAGTGACCCTGTGGTGCGGGGTCAGCCCCTCTCCTACCCTTAGCCTCCAGGTCTCCCAATGAAGAACCAGATGCCTCTGACACAAGGCGCCGCCCTCACTGTGGTTCATCTGTCTGCAGGAAGAATGCCGTAGAGCTGGAACTTGCCAAGTGCAAGATGGACATGGTGACTCTGAACAGCCAGCTGCTGGATGCCATTCAGCAGAAACTGAACCTCTCACAGCAGCTTGAGGCCTGGCAGGTAAACAGGAACATGAGGCCTGTGTGGGGAGAGCTATGAAGCACCCCTGAACCAACATCTCTGTAAGGGCAGCTTTGAACAGGGGTTCCATAAGCCCAGGTGACCAGGACCCTCCACTCTCACCTGTGGAGTTCCCAGGGAAGAATGTCTTAGAGTGGCCTTGAGACAAAGGTCAGACAGCCTGTCAAGGCTGTGCTACCAGCACGGAGGGGGCCTCCCTCAGCTGCTCACTCTGGTTTGTTTCAAACTAAGGTTGGCCAGGAAGCCCCGTGTGACTGGATGAAACATCACAGCTGGGTTCCACTCAGCAGTCCTCAGGCAGTTGCTGCTCTTCCCTTCTCAATCTGTAGCTTCCTTTTTCCATGGGCACTGCCGGCACAGGTCCTGGAGAAATTGAGTCACTGCGTCCAGCTCTAGGACCACCATCTTCAGGGTCTCCTGACTCCCGACTGCCCCGGGGCTGTGACTCATGGATGAGGTTGGGGTAGGCTGATGTCACGATGTGGGTCTAGTGGTTAAGTCTGTCTTCAGATGGAAAGTCACCTGTGACTTAGAGGTGAGCCAGCCCCACATGGCATGCAGAATAGCAGTGACCATCAGGTCACTGGCTCACTGTCTCCTCCCAGCAGCCACAGCCAGAACGCTGGCTTACCACAGCTGTTCTCTCTTCTCTCCCAACTACAGTTTGCTTCCTCAGGGCTTTTTACTATCTGGCTCCTCTGGTTTCTGATCTAGTGGCCTTTCTCAGTTCCTGTACCAACAGCTCTAGTTGTACACCCCTCCTGCCTTTGAGGTGAGCCTGAGCCTTGCGTCCATTCATCAATTCCCTCTGCCATCTGTGTCCTGCATCTGCCACCTCTCCATGGCCCACTGTGTTGTGTGTCCTGGAACCTGGCCTCATCTCTGTGCAGTGTGATGTGCCATCGAGTCCCAGCCTCCTTTCTCCCATCACTGCCGTGAGTTTGGCAGCTCTGGCAGGACAATGCCACCTTACCATAGATTTTTACCACAGGAGTAGCAGCAGGCATGGGGTCATGACCAGCTTGCGCACACGTGTAAAGTTCCAGAGGTGCTCCATGGAATTCGCTTGATGAATTTGGTTATTTAGAGTATAAAAATGCAGTCTGAAGTGACTTTGCCAGAGAAAACATGACAGCATTGGAAGGATTCTTCGGAAAGGTCTGGCTTTCCTCTTTGGTACTGAGCATACGTCATTGAGTTTGTCCTAAGTGTAGAGTACTATACTAAGATTCCATACTGAGGCTTTGGAAGTAGGAGCCATGTGCTATGTGCTGGGCAGAAATGACACAAGGTTTAATCTGAAGAGTCAAATGGAAAATCAGCCTGGCAGGGAAAGGATGGGGGAGGGGGGCGGCGGCAGCCAGGGAAGGAGTTGAGTGTGGTGGAGTGAGGCCTGTGTGCTCGTTGCAGAGATACTCGGGTTACACCCACAGACCAGAACTTGAGTGAAACAGAGGTTGGGAGTGGGGTCAGGCTCTCTCCAGGTTTGTGCCCTCATCTCCTAAGTGGCTGCTCAGAGCCCATCTTTCCCTGCTGCATGCAGCCTGCCCCAACCTGGCCTCGCCTGCCATGTGGTTGGTTTGTTTTAGGGTCTTTTGTCAGAACTTCTCATATCTCATGGCTAGGTTAAAAGCTGAAGGAGCAGGAAGGTGGTGTGTTTGCTTTCTGGTGATCGCACTGAGCTCCTTATAAACTGTGTTAGCAGCAGAGCCCACTGCCAGGTAGCTTGTTTCTACAGTTAGAATCTAGTGACTAGAAAGGAACTGTTCAAAGCTCTCTTCTGTAAGGCAGGGCAGTGGTAACGTTCTGAGTAACCAGTTAGTTAGAGGGTTCGGTCCATACCCCATGAAGAAGCTAGCAGAGTGGGACTAAGTTGGAACAGCATGTCAGGATGAGAGCCTGGCCGGAGGGGTGAAGGCAGTTCGGTGTGTGGGCATTAGTGACTTACCCTGAAAGTGATTTGAAGTGGGAAATTAGGACACAGGTAGCTTCTTAGGGCCAGGTCATTGGCTAGACAAGCTAAGGTTACTCTGAGTTGACTGAGGGTAGGGTGGCAAGCCAGACCATGGGTATCCAGACAGCCCCATGAGCTAGAATGGGGCTGTTCTGTACCTCAGCCTGGAGACACTGGCTGAGACTGAGTGCTGTATGGCACCTATGTGTCCTGGCATGGTACCAACATTGACCACTGTGTGGCTCCACCAGCCCCAACTGCCCTGCTTACTCATCGCATCCGTCACCTTCACCTTCTGCCCTGACATCGTCACCTCCCTGTCCAACCCCAGGGCCAGGTAAGAGCAGCTGCTTATCCACACCTCTCTCCTCTCTGCAGGATGACATGCACAGGGTCATTGACAGGCAGCTGATGGACACGCACCTGAAGGAACAGAGCCGGCCTGCTGCTGCCTTCTCTAGGGGACACGGCGAAGGACGGGGACAGGAGCCCAGCACCATGGACGGCAAACGGCTCTTCTCCTTCTTCAGGAAAATTTAAGTGGGGAGGAGTCAGACAGTTGAGGATGGGGAGCAGTTGAAAAGGGTCTCTAGTCAGCTGGAGCTGGGCAGCTACCGTGCCTGCCCAGCTGCCCTGGGGCCAGGAGGTTCCAGAACCTACTCCCTTTTGTCAGTGCAGTGGAGACTGAGAAGTAGGGGGCCCGCCTTGTCCTCTGACGGCTGCTCCTACCAAGGGACAGGAATGAACCCTGTCCCCACTGCCCAAGCCAAGCCTCAGCCTGGGCTTCCCCAGGATCCTGTTAGCGAGCAGGGCTCAAGCCACGTCCCGTGCAGCCCATTGACGGGCTCTGCCACTCAGACCCAGCTCATCACAGCCCACCCTAAAGGCTCTGCTGCCTCCTTGGATTTGAACATGGGGACAGAGATTGAGGCCCTCCTGTGCATGCCTCAGGAGGCCTGAGCCTCCACTCCTGCCCTGGCCACGTGCCTGGAGTAAGGGGAGGCACAGTCCCTCACCCATGTGCACACACCTCTGCTGGAGTCCTGTACAGCAGAAGCCCCAGCCTGTAGCTGTGGGGCCTAAGAACTGGGTTACCCAAGCTCCCTTGAGGCCATTCTGTACCCCAGGGAAGGTCCCGTCTTCTGGCTGCTGCCACTCCTCAGCTTCCTCCAGTGCAGGCAGTCCTTACCCTAGTGAGGCCTGGGCCCGGCAGCATTCCCATTGGCCCTCTGTAGGCTTTAGCCTTCCAGACTTTTCTCCCTCATGGGGTAGGGCTGGGAGAGCACTTGTCTTCCACAGCTCCCTCCCACCTCAAATACAACTAGGCCAAGCTGAGCAAGTTCAGGCCATAAAATGGCCTCCAAGGGCAAGGGGAGTAGTTTAACCATCCGCCCACTGAAGGCAGCAGGCAGCGTGAGTGCCACAGGGTGGATGGGGTAAGGCTGCTGGGAGCTTCCAGATACTGCCCACCAGGCCAGCAAGGGACAAGGCCTGCAGCCTGCTGCTTCTGCTCCTTCTGCAGCGGCCACCCCATCTCTGCTGAGGCCCCACTCAGAGGCACTGTGGGCCCTGCCTGCAGCTGCTCACCACTCACTAAGCCTCTGCCCTCAACGGGGAAAGCACAGCAGGGCTGAGCAGAAAGAATGTACTTACAGACATGTACATACCACAGTGCTGTAATTTTGTATGTAGCAACTGTGTAAATACACGTATGGATTTTATAATACACACATAAATCTATAAAGGCATATTTTTAGAAAAACAGCGCACCACTGCTTCTTTTGAAAATAGTCTGAATAAGAATAAAGTGAATTTCTACACAGCTTGTGCCTCAGTTCCTGGGTGTGTGGAGAGTTTTGTTAAACATGCTTTGTGTGTCAAAAGCCACCTCTGTTGCTGTAGAGGGTTAGCATGGGCCCAGGGGGTTATTTGTGAAGGTGGCAGTGTCTTGCTCCACACCCTCCTTCCTGTCCAGCATGGCAGAAAACTTCCAGCAGAAAGAGCTCACTCCTAGTAAAAAGCTTCCGGCTGCACCCTTCCGGCATGTGCAGGGTGGACATGGAGCCTCCCCTGGCATCTTCCTACATGTGCTCTGGGCCCAGAGGGAAGCATCACCCCAAACCATTCATGGGGAGCAAACGTGGCCCTGCCCTTGATGGGCACCTATGTAGCACCTGAGATCAACAAGAGCTGGACCCAACCACGGAAGAAGCCAGGTAGGTACCCAGAGCACAGCTGTAAGGAGAGCAAACACACCCTGAAAGGAAATTTGGCAGCTTGAACCTTTATTTTTAGTATTTTTTTTAAAAAGCATAATTAGAAACTTTCAATACAGAAATAATCCTAGCAAACCATTTAAAAGTTTGTTGTTTGACAGGAGGTTCACATCAGGTCCACCAGGACACCAGTTTAGCCCTGAGTCCCCCACCCCCACCCTTCCCCCACCCCACCCCCACTCATGCATGTAACACTCTGTGGGACAGGCACACTGTTGTCACCAGAATCACCATCACCTGGGCCTTAGCAGGCAAGTGCCAAAAGCCACAGAGGCACCTAACTTGGGCTGGATGCTCCAGGATCACCCTCTTATTGCTTGATTTGGCCAACACCTCTACACTGGCTCCCACATGCTCGGAAGCACATGTGACACCTGCCCCCGCTGTCAGCCAAGATGGTGAAGTCTGCCCCGACTCCCAGCTCACCTGGACCACATGGAGCTGCCTACTGCTTGGCCCTGGAGTGTCCTCCACAGCACCTACCTTCCCTAGGCTCACAGCTCCAAAACCCAGCCTGAAGCTCAGAACCCCAGCTTTGGACAAGTGGAGAGACAGGTGAGAAGCCCCAGTTTTATTGATTAAAAACCCATCCACAGTGTTAACATGGAAAATCTGCAGTAATCTGTGATGATTGTCCAGTCAGGAGAGGAAATCTAATAAAACACTATGGTGTCCAAATCAGTTCTTCCCAGTTACGTGATCCTTTAAGGGAAGGGGGAAGTAATCAAATGTGGATTACCCTGGCTTTTCCTCCAGGGGGGTGGGTGGGTCAATACTGGCTGCCCCCACCCCACTGCCACGTCTTCCCAGTGGCTAAGAAACTTTCCTACCACCTTTATACTAAAACAGGTCTGTCAGTAATGCAAAACCGCCTGTCCCAGCTTGGAGGTGTCTTCCCGGAGTCCAGCAAGCCCTGGATGCACCTGAGGTGCCTGGTGCTACATTACAAACTAGCTCCAGTGGGAGGCCCTTGTGCACACAGGAACAGGGGTGCAAAGCCCTCCTTTCTCATCAAAGGGAGAGCCTGACCCCACAGTGAACAGAAGCCATACATCTTTTCTAAAAATACTGAACCCAAAGTGGAACAGTCACAACTTCTGCTGTTAAGCCAACCAAGTCTCAAGGAAATAAATGAGAAACTCAATGCGTTTGATTGGGCTTCCTTTGGCTGTCTGTTAAAATAGCCTCCATCTCTGAACAAGGGTGCCCTGCCTTCCTGCTGGAACTGAAACATGATGGGTGAGGGAGAAGCCACACAGCTCCCCTGGATTTGTAGCAGAGGCATCCAGAAGGCAGGATAAGAAACCTGTTGGCCAAAAGGGCAGGACTGACTTTCTCTGTGGAACTGCAGGCCTAGGGCCAGCCGAGAGCAGGGCTTGTGAGAAGGCCTGGTTCCCCAGCTTCCAGAGCAGCTGTAGGGCAGGAGCCATGTAGAGTGCACTCCATGGGCCCAGGTTGGCCAAAGACTCAGCTAAGACATGAGGCTGGCTCCTCGGGAAGCTGCCGTCGAGATGGAATAGGAGGGCTTGGGAGGGTCTGTTGCAGCAGGTTGGCAGGAAGGAGGCAAAAGCCAGAGCAGGCTGAGGGTGTGCAGCTGGTTAATGCAATATACACTATATACAAACTGGTTAATCCGTCCGCTCAGCTGGCAGCGTCCTCACCAGGTCCAGGTGCCTCAGCAGGGAGATGGGCACCAGCGGGGAAGGGCAGGCTTGTCCAACACCTTCTTGGCACTCAAGGGGAATGGGGAGGAAGTGCCGATGGCGCCTCCCGATACAAAAAACGTGGAGAGATTCTTTAAATAACGGCACTAAACTGAGACTGTCCCCCGAGGAGCCTCTGAGGGCCTCGGGCTGGGGGAGGGGTGCAGTGCAGTCTCTGCAGTGGACTGGACCATTAGCAGCAGCGTTTCTTTCGTTTACTGTTTTTCGTGAGCTTCACCACATCGTTCTGTTGCTGCTGCTGCTGTTTCGCCAAGTTGTCTTTCTTTGCTCGTAGAACCAGCTCTGTGATACAGTTGAACATCTGGAGAGATGACAGGGCAAGGCTGGCCTGAGACAGTGCAGAGCCCTTGCTGTTTAAGAACTGTGTGTCTGTCCTCAAAACTCTGTGTGTGCGCACGCGCCTCACTGTAACTATGCAACCCAGCCTGGCCTTAAACGCACAATTCTCCTCCCTCCATCTTCCCAGTGCTAGAGTTATATGTGGGTATGTACCATGTGCCCTCAAAACACACCCTAGGACAGCAGTTCTCAGCCTTCCTAATGCTGCGACCCTTTAATGCAGTTCTTCGTGTTGTGACCCTCAACCATTAGGTTATTTTTTGTTGCTATTGTAATTATGAATCCTAATGTAAACATCTGATGTGTGACCCCTGTAAAAGGGTCGTGACCCAGAGGTTGAGAACTGCTGCTTTAGAGGGTTGGGAGAAGGTAGTCAAGAGTTAAAAAGGAATGCTACAGACCACTGCTGTCTTGGGGAAGTCAATCCCCTGGATATCCTCCAGGCTTTTCCTGTATGTGGCTATGTGCGTGTGAGTGCAGTGCCCACAGAAACCAGAGTCAGTTCCCCTGGAGCTAGAGTTGCAGGTGGTTGTAAGCTGCCTGGCATGGATGCTGGAACTGAACTCAGGTCCTCTCTAAGACCATACGACCAATCCCTGAGCCATCTTCCCAGGCCTTTTTAATACAGAGGAAGAACGACAGAACCTCTGACGAGACAAGAGCAGGCTGCTCTGCATGTAGCCCAAAGGAAGCACAGGCTGTCCACCGCCTTGCACCCGGCCACGTGTGTCTAAACCTTTCCCTGGCTACCAGGTCCTGCTGCCAGGACCCAAGGACGCTAAAGCAGCGCCACACCAGACAGAAACGCTGAACTAGGAACTAGGGGCCCAGATGTCCTCAAACCCTGAGGTGAGATGACTCAGTGCTTAGGAGCACCGACTGTGCCATCACTCGGGCCAGGGGTCAGACCACAGCACCCCCATTCCAAGCTGGGCCCGACAAGCACCTCACTCCAGCATCATGGGACCTGATGCCCGCCCTCTTCTAGACCCTGCACATGCAAACTGCATACACTCGCACACAAATCTTACATCGCCATCTGCTGAGCAAGCACAACCCAGCTCACTCCCTGTGTACAGATGAACAAATGAATTACCAAGAGCTAAGTCTCAACTGTGGGTCCTGGCCTGCCTCTGAGGAGCCTGTGTTTCTGATGCAGTGGGAGCCCAACTTCCCTGGCACATCTGGACCCCTCTGGGGCCAGTGAGTGGGCCAAGTGAGGCTTGTAGCAAAAGCTCTAGCTTTTCCCCTCAGAATCACAGCTGTTCTTCAACAGGTGCTGCTCCCAGGTGGACGCTCTGCCCACAAACCCCGGGAACCTCCTAGCAGGAGCCCACTTGAACTCAGAGGCCAGGAAAAAGCAAGTAACCAAGAGCGACAGAGGGTGGTAGTGACAGGCTCAAGGGAGGGCCAAAAGGAAGCAGCTGGAATAGACACTGCTTGGCTCTGGGGTGGGAAAGATCTGGGCTCGACAGCACCTCTCACTGGTTCAGGAACTTGAGTTTTCCTCCATGAAATATGGGATCCACCTCAGGATGCTGAGCAAAGAGGAAAGACTTTAAAGGGCCCCAACATTGGGCACTGAGTAACAGTTGATCACTCAGATGCCTGAGCAAGCCTGGAGGAGGAGAAGGCTGCGGCAGACTGGGGAGGGCAGCTCACGGGCCCTCTCCTGCCCCTCTGCCCGGGGACTGGCACAGCTTACCTCTTCCACGTTGACATTCTCCTTGGCACTGGTCTCAAAGAGCTGGATCCCCATCTGCCCAGCAAACTTGTAGGCATCTTCTGTCTCTACCACCTTCCGCTCAGGGTCGTCATTCTTATTGCCCACTTTAAGACAAAGCACAGTCAGCTACTGCAAGAGCACAGACTGCTCTCCCACATGCCCGCCCTTGGGGTCCAGCCTCACCTAATATTCGGCACACATCGTCACAGTTCTGGTTGATTTCATGAAGCCATCGCTTGACATTGACAAAGGACTCAGCACTAGTGACGTCGTAAACCACAATGACCCCATGGGTCCCCCGATAATACCTGTAGGGCCAAGATGTACATCAGGGTTGGCCCAGGTCAGAGAAGCTGTTACCCTGGGGCCCGCTTGCCAGAGCAGGACAATGGCTGGGAAGGTGAGGGTGCAGGGCCAGGACCAAGTCCTGTACCCAGCCCTGATCACCAGCCAGAGCCCAGCCTGAGCAGCACTGGCTTTGCAGGCCTGTCCCTGGTAGCAGAGCTGAGGGCTGGTCATAGTCTGAGGTAGACCAGGCCTCAAAAGTCACCCTAGGTGACTGAGGGTACCACCGGCTGAAAACTCTTTCAAGCTCTCCTGTTTGTTTTTAAGATTTATTTATTTATTATGTATATAGTGTTCTGCCTGCATGTATCCCTGCAGGCCAGAGGAGGGCACCAGACTTCATTAAGATGGTTGTGAGCCACCGTGTAGTTGCTGGGAATTGAACTCAGGACCTCTGGAAGAACGAGCAGTGCTCTTAAACCCCTGAGCCATCTCTCCAGGCCCTCAAGTTCTCCTTTTGTTAGAATACAGGCAGTTTTTGTGTTTGACATGTTATCACCATGCTGGTTTTAAGCTTTCACACTTCCTCTCAAATCTCGGCATTAAATGTCATGGCTGCACCTTCAAGAAGCCAAAGTGTGCTCCTTTTCCCCTGGCAGGCAGGCGATACTTCTTTTCCTGCTCTTGCCTCGCTGTATCGGTGAGGGAGAGTGCAGAGGCTACACACACATCCAGCAGCTGTAGGAAGGACTCGGCTAAACCTGCAGACCCCAAACCAGCCAGTAGGTCTGCAAGGAAGGAGGGTGCCATCATTCCTCTTTGAACACTGGAACCCAGAAAGCCAGACAGCACCAACAGCACAGGGCCAGAGGAAGCAACACCGTTGGCCCCACCCTAGACACTGCCCGGGCTGTCTCTTGGAGCCTTGTCTCTAAAGCTGTTCCTGGTCACTACGGTCTTAAGACACTGCGACTCCAAACCCCGAGGGCAGGCTGCCCCCATCTGGCTCTACTGACAGCACGTCCCCAGCCTGCATTCCAGATGGCTGCACCAGGATCCATGGTAAGGGGCACCTGCTGTGTAGTCACCTCTGTAGTCGAGACCTACCCAAGGACAAAGGTGAAGCTGGGTCCCATCTCTGAAAGCTGTGGACCCTTGGAAAGGTTATTTGGCTTTCATCCCTACCCTTACCTCAGTTCCCTCAACTATACCACAGGGGTGCTAGTACAGACTTGTGAGGGCGGTTGGGAGGAAGAGGAGGTGACAGATGCCACCCCAAGGCTGCCAACAGTCCACAGACAGCGCTGGGTGCTCTCACTACAGTGTTCCTCCGCAGCAATCTGGAGTCCAGATGAGGGGGCAGAGCCAAGAGAGAGTGGGCAGGGCAAGGCAGCTCCAAGGGCAGAACACAGGCCCTGCCACTCTGCTGCCCCAGCATCCGTCCAGCCCTCCCAGGACACCACACTCATCTGCTGGCTCCTTCCAAGGCTGGGAGCCTGACAGTTCCACTGTCTCAGCTCAGGACCCTGAACCAACCTGGCCTCGGTCCCCTAGCAAACGCTGCCCTGAGCACTAGCCCAGCACACAGCGTAGCTTGGTGTATGCCTCTGGGGCCAGGTATGGCAAACAAGTGCCTCGTAACCTTTCCTTTGACATCACTGCCCTAGCTCCTGCCACTCTGGGACGATACCAGAGCTGCCAGTCTTCTGACCCAATGTCTCACATCCACCGCCTTACTCATATTTGCCAACTTGACCCAGCAAGGCAGCACAACAGTCACTTAGTCCAGTGGCTAGCTGCGGCCTCACCACCCAGGCTGTTTCCTAGCCTGGTGCAAGGCTTCACCCTTCTCTTTCCTCTCCCAACAGCCCCTGAGGGACAGAAAACTGAAGAAGGGTTAAGACAGAGGGATAGCAAAAAGGCTCTTTTAGCACACAAACGGGGTACAGACATTTCCACTCCTACACAGACTGCCACACCTCCAAAACATGCAACTATCTCAAGACCTTCCCTTCTTCACCAGCCACTGTCACAGGGTGATGACTCTCTCCACAGCCCCTTCACAGGCCGCAGAATGGGCCAGGGCAAACCTTGGTTTCCCCAGACATGTAGGCAGACAGGACAATACCTGTGCCTAGGGAGTCTTGGGCTGCGGCACTCGTAACAACCACAGGGTAGAGTACAACACACAAGGCAACCTAACCCTCAGTTGAGTAGCCCTGAGCTTCCTCTGCTCACACCCACCCGCTCAGAGGATTCTGAGGGCCCAGAATGGCCACCTGTGCTTCTATGACAGAACTGGAGACTTTCCACTACAATCCAGAACCATATGCAGGTTCTGTTATCCACCTTGCACGAATTACAACAAGAAGCCCACTTCTAAGATACACCTGTAGCTGGGAGAAATGGTGCACGCCTTCAGTCCCAGCAGAAACAGGTAGATACCTGTGAGCCTGAGGGCAGCCATGGCTACACAGTGAGTCCCTGTCTCAGAAACACACACAGACATGCCTTTATCTGCGAAATGGAGTAACAGCAGCATAGCACACAGAAAGCCAGAAGTGACCTATGAAAGGTCAGAGCAGGAGCCCTGGACTCAAGCCTTAGCACTCAGGCAAATCCTAACTAGAAATCTCAGGGACACAGGCACAGACATTAGGCAGCTTGCCCAAGGACATGCAGAACAGAAATCTAAATCCACACTATTTCACAAACGCCTAAGACCACGTCTCTACAGGGTCAACACTGGAGTGGTTTCCTCCTGTGGGCGGCTGACTTCCACAAAGGCACTGCAAAGGAAGGTGACACGCTCAGCAACGGGTTTCCCAGCTAACAGACTAGGGATGTAGAAGAAGGGCCCACATACCTATGGTCTTCCAGGCCTCCAGAGAGAGAGAGCCATCTCTGAGACGCCAGGGTGGATGACCAGAGACTGCACAGAACTGACACCCACCAAGAACTGTCAGTGGCTCACTGGGCGCCAGGGAAGGACTTGTCACTACTACCCAATGAGACAAATACTACTGCTATTGCCACTGGAAGAGAAAGGAGCTACCAGCAGGTAAAACTGAGTACCCATGAGGCGGGTACACAGTCTGTATCATGTCAGATACCAAGGCCAGGTGCTCAGCCACTGCGTGTCCTTAGTCCTGGTGGCTACCATAGCACACCATGTATCTTCAGGCAGGGAAGGCACAGCTACCACCTCAGCCTTGATTCCTCACACCCAGTGACATTTCTCCACAGTATCACTCTTCAACAATGCCACTCCACTCCACAAAAACGCCTAGGCAGGGCTAACGGCACTCACGTGGAGGTGATGGTGCGGAAGCGCTCTTGCCCCGCCGTGTCCCAGATCTGCAGCTTCACCTTCTCCCCGTTGATCTCCACAGTGCGGATCTTGAAGTCCACTCCGATTGTGGTGATGTAGCTGCCTGTACCAACGCAGCCCATTACTTGGGATAGGGAGCCCTTTGCCCCACCCCACCGCACTCTATGTGCCCCACACAGTCAAGGCCCTAAGGCCCTAGTCCTGAAAAACCTGCTCTAACAGGCCCTCAATACAAGTAAGACAGTTGCAGAAATACACGCCACCAATAAAATGAAAATGGAAGTGACTGGGGAAATAGAGACGGGTTTTATTGGGAAGGCAGGGTAGGGACATGTCAGCTGTGACCTGAGAATATAGCAGACCTATTCATCCTGGGTTTCTCGTTCCTATTTTTATGTTTTAGTTGGAAGGTGACCTGCAAAACTGACTAAGAGGACCCAACACTGCACCTTCCTGGGGGGATGATAGCAAAATATCCACGGTGAGTTTGGAGTCTGGGGGGCTAAGCCCAGGGTAGGAGGCGAATAAGGAGTCAGAGTCAGTCCTCCAGGCTTTGTGCCATTGCTGAGAATTTGTACTGCGCTATGTGTGGGACCGTGAGTTTTCACCAGCACACAGAATGCCGCCACTGACTTCTACAGTCCAGTATGAAGCAGGCTCACAAACACCTGCCTATCCAGAACACAGCAAGAACTCTTTGAAAGGACACAGATGACCATGTGAAGTGTGGCAAGGGCATGGGAAAGGCAGAAATGGAAGAGTAGTTAGCAGGAAAGCTTAACGAAGGTGCTGAGGTGGAGTGACAGCCTACACTGGGACAAGCACCAGAAACCAGGCCGGCATCTGGTACCTCCAGGGCCAGTAGCTCCTCACCCATGAGCAAGCAAAGCAAAACAGAGTCAACACAGCACAAGAAGAAAGCTAGAAACAGGTTCTGAAGACCAGTGGTTCCCAACCAGCATGGCTTTGTTCCCCTGAGGACACTGGGAACATTACCATCTAGAGACAATTTTGGTTGTCACAGTACAACTGGCATCTAGTGGGTGTATCTGGCCCAGAGACACTGTTCCACACCCCAGTTGAGGGCCTGGGTTCAATTCCCAGCACCCACATTGAAACCTGCAACCACAGACATGCATACAGATAAAACATGCAGAGACAGTTAAAAAGACTGAGAACTAGCTGGGTGTTGGTCGTGCGCACCTTTAATCCCAGCACTGGGAGGCAGAGGCAGGTGGATCTCTGAGAGTTCAAGGCCAGCCTAGTCTACAGAGCAAGTTCCAGAACAGGCTCCAGACTATTAAGCAATACAGAGAAACCCTGTCTCGGGAAAAAAAAAAAAAAAAACTGAGAACTGACAGGAGCGCAGATGACCACAGCAGCTTCCTAAAGCAATCGGGAACTGATGGGGTGGCTCAGGTGGGTGAAGGAGTTTGCTGCCAAGCAGGAGGACCAGAGTTCAGTCCCACACAATGGAAGCAGGGAACCAACTCCTAACTGTCCCGATCTACACACACATGCCAAGGTGTGACGGTCTGAATAAGAACGGCCCCCATAGGCTCATGTATTGGAATGCTAAGTTACCAGGGAGTGGAACTCTTTGAAAGGATTTCAAGGATAAGCAGGTATGGCCTTGTTGGAAGAAGTGTGTCACTGGTAGTTTCAAAAGCCCATGCCAGGCCTAGTCAGTGTCGCCCCTCCCACCCCCCCCACCCCCCCACCCCCCGCTTGTGGATCAGGATGTAGCTTTCAGCTACAGTTCGTGCAATGCAGGCTACCATGCTCCCTGCTATGATGAAAATGAACTGACCCTCTGAAACTACTTGGCGTGTTGGGCTGGAGAGATGGCTCAGAAACTAAGCACTGGCTGCTCTTCCAGAGGACCTGAGTTCAATTCCCAGCACCCACATGGTGGCTCACAACCATCTGTGATGAGATCCAGTGTTCTTTTCTGGCCTGCAAGGATACATGCAGGTCGAACACTGTATACACAAATAAATAAATAAATAATAAATAAATAAATAAATAACTCTTTAAAACAACAACTTGACATGTCCCCTTTGCCCTCAGTTTCAATCAAATAGGGTTTTTTTGTTTCTCTGTGTAACAACCCTGGCTGTCCTCAGAACTCACTCTGTAGACCAGGCTGGCTCTGAACTCACAGAGATCTGTTTCCCAAGTGCTGGGATTAAAGGCATGCATCAGTACCTCCTGGCATAAATAAAAGGTTTTTAAAAGGCAATTTGGCGGTACCAAGCAAAGTTTAAACACCTTTAGACCCTGTGACCTAGTAACCTCAGTTCTGTGTGTACAAGAAGAAACAATGTATCCCAGAAATACAGCACTGATTAAAAGAGAAGCAACAGGAGCCATATGGCCTGAGTGGTATTAGTGAAGGCCAGTGCATTCAGACATAAGCAACCCTCCCAGCCATTACAGGATGAAAGGAAGGCAGGGCATGGTAGCGCGCGTGCGTGCGTGCGTGCGTGCGTGCGTGTGTGTGTGTGTGTGTGTGTGTGTGTGTGTGTGTGCGCGCGTGTGTGCATACACATATATATACACATACGTACATACATATATGCCTTTAATCCCACTACTTGGTAAGTGGATCTCTGCAAGTTCAAGGCCAGTCTGGTCTACATAGCAAGTTCCAGGCCAAGCCAGAGATTCATAGGGAGACAGAGTCTAAAAACAACCAGAACAGGGGGAGAGGGGATTGGGGGGGCTGTGGATAGCAAGGCTGGAGCAAGTTTCTGAATAGGTGGGGTCAGGAAGACACCTACACCCCTACACCACACCCTGAACAGAGGCTCCAGAGCAGCAGAGGGGCGGTATGGAAACAACTGTCACTTCTACATCGTGGACATCTTCCTATTAGACATGTACTATCTAGTAAGACTTTAAACTCTTAGCTGTGGGGCACAAATAGAAGTAAGGAACAGCAGGAGTTTCTCACCTCAGTCTCCCACCCCAGTTTTCCTCAGCCAACAACCTTAATGATAAAGTCTCCTGTATCAGATAGAAGCGGTTAAGTTCTGGAATGGGGTAGATTTCAAAACCAAAGCACCCTGGGAAGACTCACCTGAGAAGGTGTTGTCTGCAAATCGTAACAGCAAGCTGCTCTTGCCTACACCTGCAAGAGAGAACGCATAGAGGTGAGCAGCTGGGAGGATCTCCCTTTAGCCCGTCCTTTCTAAGAAGCCCAGGGGGGCCAGAACGCTTCAAGGCTGACCAATCTCCCCACACACCAAGAACATCCCTTCCAGTCAACTGCTGACCTTCTCCTTCATCCTCATGTAAGACAAGCTGCTCTCAAATCCTCTGGGGGAGATGACAGAGGGACTCATGCCCAGGCCCAGTTCTGAGGACCGACCCAGACAAGAGACAAGCAAGAGGAAGGTCAATTGAATGAGACCAGTCCACTGACATCCTCAGTAAGGCCCTTGGGAAACCCCATGCTACTTCAGTAGCTGGAGGAGCCCTTCATTTTATCAGGGCATTCTGCATGTGGGGAAACTAAGGCCACATGATGAGAACCAACAGTCAGTTTGGCTGAATGGGTGAGGCAGGGGTATTGAAGATACATTGCTGTGAATGATTTAATAGAAAGAACTGAACAACCAATAGTTAGGCAGGAGGTGTAGGCGGGACTTCCGGGCAGAGAGAGGGGGAAATAGGAAGAAGAGTCTAGGCACGAGGGAGAGTTGCCAGCCAGTGCCAAGGAAGCAGAGAGATGAGGTATTGAGCCACAAGATGGAACATAGATCTAAAAGTATAGGTTAATCTTAAGTTATAAAAACTAGTTAGAGTCAGGTGGTGGTGGCACACGCCTTTAATCCCAGAACTCAGGAGGCCGAGGCAGGTGGAACTGGATCTCAGCGAGTTCGAGGCCAGTCTGGTCTACAAAGTGAGTTCCAAGACACCCAAGACAATTACACAGAGAAACCCTGTCTCTAAAACAAACAAACAATTTAGGAACAAATCCTAAGATAAGGCCAAGCTTTCATAATTAATAATAAGTCTCCATGTCCTTACTGTGAGCTAGCAGCCCAAAGAAAATCCATCTACACAGTGAGCTTGATGGACACCTACTGGGCTACCACCTATGAGTGCTTGGACCACTGCACTGCACAGCAGCTCCCTCCTGGCTTCCCCTTGACCTCCACACATGTGGCTTTCATTGGCCAGTGCACCTACCTGCCTCCTGTCCTGTCTCCATTACCCAAAGGGGCTACATCAATCAACTGCAGAATAAAAGATGAACACACTCAAGTCTGCATGGGTGGCTCATGGTGCTCCCAGAATTCCACTGTGTCCCCTCAGATGAGGAGACCAGGACTTGAGAATGAGCAGCTGACCTAAGATGTCTCCCGAGGTCAGATAAAGATCCAAATCCAGGCCTGCCAGGCAGCTCTAAACACCTCTCTTGTTTGCTTGCTCCTTCTCTCTTTTTGGGGGGGGGGAGGGAGGGGGCAAGTACCAAGTAGCCAGGCCAGACTTGAACTCACTATGTAGCAGAGGATGGCCTTGAATCTGATTCTTCTGTTAAACCCAGAACTTCATGCATGTGAGGAAAACACCCTACCACCTGAGCTGTAGTCCTAGTCCTTGATGGGGGCACTCTCAGCCCATCAAGGCATGCAAATGACTTTATTTTCCTTGAAAAGCTAGTTGACAATACCAAGGATAACTTAAGTACCCCGGACCCTGTGACCTAGTATCCCCACTTCTGTGGAATTGCTGCAAAAGAACAAACATAATGTATCCCAGTAATGAAGCAGGACTTAAAACGAGAAACAGCCAGGAATCAAAGCACGTTAGTGGATGTCAGCCCATCTTTCTCAGGAACATAAAGTGATAACCAGGATTCTACACCCATCCTTTCTGTTCTGTTCTAACAGAAATGCCTTCAAAGGCACCAGGTCCTAGAACCCCATAAATGTCCTGTGACTGGAAGCAAATTTTAAACATATGTGCCTATCATGAAAACTCACAGTTTGAGTCTAGTTCTCAAAGACAGCGATGGTCTACTCCCCCACCTCAAGCAACCCAGACTGCAAACCACTGCTGTAGACGGTGCTGTACAGTTGTTTCTCTAAAGTAAGCCCAGATACCCTCTCCAGGTCATCGCCGGTGAGCAAATCGGCAGGGACACCCAGAAGAACCTGCTTCTCTGAGAACACCTGGGTCCAGCCTTCCCAAAAGGGTCTGCAGGTGACCTGCTCCCGAGCACACAGCTGCAGCATCCAGGACACCTGTTGCTCAGCTGACAATGCTCTGCTGAGCACCACTTCCTCATTGTTCTGCTATGAGGCTTCCTGTTAAACCCAAGGAGAGCACAAGTTCTGAGCCGGTCCTCATGGTGTTCTGCCTAACACCCCATTGGCCCTGTGGCCTCCTCTGCTTCCTCCTGCAGCCTTCTGGGTCCAGCTTACTCAGCTAAAAGCTCATGTCTGGCCACCAGGCAGTGAGTTCCCCAGGCACTAAGGACCTAGGCCCACCTCCTTCACCCATGCATTCATTCAGTGCTGTGAGCTGAGCCCAGCACCTAACAACTACCAGCTAAACCCCCTCCACAGATTGACACTGAGCAAGTATGAGCCTCAGCGAAAGTCATGCTACATCATGCTAAGACAGCAGCGTTACCAGGTGCCATGAAGAGGCTTTCAAACTTTAGGGGCAGGAGACGGCAGAAGCTTCTTTTTTCCCCCTCAGATGGGGTCTGGCTGGCCTGGAACTTTGCAGAGTAGACCAAGCTGGCCTCAGACACACAGAAAGCCACCTGCCTGTGTTCCCAAGTGCTGGGATTAAAGATGTGCAATACTACACCTGGCCTTTATTAATATTACTAATATTATTAAATTTATCCAAACCTCACATCTGTAATCAGCAAGGCAGAGGTACCATTTGCAGTGACATCAAGGACCTGAAATCCTTGCAGAAAACCACTGATCACAACACGGTCTGCTGCCATAGACCTGATCCCAGCCTCCAGCACTGCTCCCTCCTGACAGGAGGATCAGAAACCACAACATGCCACCTCCTGCATATCCCAGCTGCTATCTACCCTGCAGATGCACCCAACAAAGCAGTGCAGGGACATACTTTCACCACGGAAATGCTTTCTTCTAGCCACCTAGCGCTACGGTCTACTACCCCGCAAGGGGCACGGGCCTCAGCACACTTGTTGCCTCTTGGCTGGCAAGCAATGCCACCCTTGGCCGTTACCCTCTCCTCTGTGTATACTACTTTGGGCCTTCACCCTAGCTTTGTCCCACGGCTTCCCAATTAGGCCACAGAGCCATGGACTTTCTTTGCTTCGGCACCAGCCTGCAGTAAACTCAAGTAAAGCGCTATCGACTTTAATCCTGTCTCAGTGACCACAGCCTCTCGTAAGCTCACACAAGCCATGCCCGCCTCCCAGCTCCAGCCTACTCATCAGTTAAGGGTTTTAACTAGGTCTCTGGTGGCACACTAGCCTCCAGGTTCTAAGAATGAGGGTGACTGGCATCAGTGGGCACCGTTATAAACCAAAGCTCAAGTCAGAACAGCTGAGAAGACAGCATAGAACCTCAGGAACAAAGAAAAGATACCCAAGTTGGGAGAATACATTCCAGAGGTGTACACAGTATGGCCCAGTGGGAAGCATGCACTGAGGGACTACGGCTTGCCAGCCCAACACCACCTGCTCCCACAGTGAACAGAAGACTGACGCCCAGCTTTGCTTCTGAAAACTGTGTGATTTAGGGCGAGTCAGGCAGCTCCGCGAAGCCTTAGTTTCCTTATTTGACAAACCACAGAGGCCATGGGTGAGAATCAGATGAGAAAGTGTCTGAGTCACTTGATACACCTTAGGACGCACACACTCAGGGGGCCCAGGGCAGGCAGGGGATGATGTCAGGCCCTGCTCACCTGCAGCCCATTCTCAACTACCCTGGCTACCATCTCCCACCTTCCTGAGTGTTCAGCTCAGTGTCTGGAGAAATCAAAAGCAAATCATCTCCCTCCACTCCACAGCCTAGGGCTATACATTCATACTAAACTGGGGGCCAGACCACACAGACCCTGACCAAGGAGTCTTCTCCCACACCTGACTTCTGAGGAAAAACAAAAACAAACAAACAAAAACCGCGCGCGCACACACACACACACACACACACACACACACACACACACACACACACACCCATGTAAAATACACTGTAAGAGAGCAAGCCAAAACCATCTCCCGGGTCTCACAGAAAAGCCAACAAGCTACACCTCGTGGCTGAGGTTAACCCTTGAGTTTGGGTAGTAACACTGGCACACACCATCTTGACCACAGCGGGCTGGGGCTGACTTTAAGTCCAAAAGCGTGGTCGCCATGGTGTCAGCCACTCAGAACCAAGGCCAGGGAAGCAAACAAACGCCTAGGCTCTGTCCAAGCTCCAATTCACACAGCTCGCTTGCTTTTGCTTCATTCTCCTATAACCAGTCTTCTGCCTTCCTAACTCCTTCCCAGCCACGGCTACTCTTCCTCCTAGTGAGGCCCTAACTTTTCCCAGCACCTTCCCTCCACCAGACACCACTGAAACTTCAACCATCTTCCACCGGATCAAACCACCAACCACATCCCAACCCAGCTTCTCGGGGGAGACCAAAAACCACTTACTTCCATGACCCATCAATGACACTGCCACCCAACATGCAACATCCCGAGTCTCTGGGGACTTGGTGCTCTATTTCCTTAATGATCCACAGGCCCTACCACCAACCTGACTGCCTCAAGTCATGTGACCCTCTATCCCACACTCAGCTCAAGTCCAATCTATAGACTGGATGCTCCCCAGCCTCCTTGGAAACGTCCGACAGTGCTAGCACCTCAGCTACACTCCCACAAACATCCTGGGACCTGCTTCCCTGAACTCAACGTCACCGGGGAGATCCTCCGCCTGAAACCATTCTGACTTTCCTCGGTGTCCACTCACTGAGCAAATGCATTTTAAGTACTGGGTACCAGAAGCTGCTCTATGAACCAGAGATGGAACGTCTCAAAAGGCGTGCGTGTATGTGGACAAAGCGCTTAAAATGCTGGATGAAGCACCCCCGGGTCTCCCTCTGGTACTACAGTAAGGTTAACAGCAAACACTTGTCCACCCACTGTGTGCCAGGCACTGCTGCCATCACTTCGAGTGCTAACATCAGTCAGGCAGACAGATCTGCCACTATTCCGTTCCACAGACGAGGGAACAGAACCAAGCAAAGACTTAGCAACGACTCTGCAGGAATCGTGTTTATGGCTTGACCTGCCGCACCTCATCTAAACACACAGCAACCCGGAGAGACAGGCCCCGGGAATAGCCCCGTTTCACAGAGGGCTCGGTCTTCACAGGGAGACTCATGCTGACAACACTAAGTTATTTCGGGGTTACTTTACGTCGGGTCAGGCGCTAAGCACTTTTCATACTTGAGCTCACCGAATACTCACAACTCTCCGTTTACCAAGTCCCCACTTCTCAGATGCGGGAACTGAGGCTCGCTCACAAAGGTGAAACAACTTGGCCAAGGTCACGGAGTGAAAAAAGCTTGCCTTCCCGGGACTCGAACCCGCGTCTCTCCAACTCCAGAGATCGCGCGACTTGACCAAGGTCACACGTGAGGCAGGAGCAAGCGCCGGGGCGTGCATCCCGCGCGCTCGGAACCCCGACCCGCCGAGGAGCAGCCCGGAATCCCTGGCTGCGTCCCCGGGGCCTGCGGCCGCCGAGCTCCGTGCCTCCCGCCCCGCGCGGGCCGCGCCTCCCCGCCCGCTCGCCCGCCCGCCCGCCCTCCCCGAGGCCCCCGCGGGCCGCGCCCGGCAGGGCCCGCGCCGCCTCCGGCCCCTGCGGCCCTCACCGCTGTCGCCGATGATGAGCAGCTTGAAGAGGTGGTCATAGTCCCGGGCCATGGCGGGCGGAGGCGGCGCGCGGGCGAGCGGGCGGGGTCGGTACTGGCCTCGCGATCCGCAGCTCCTTCCCGGCTGCTCCGGCAGCGGCGGATCCACTTCCCGAACAAACAGCCGGAACTGACAGAAACACCTCCCTTCGCTCCCCCCACCCTCCTCCTCCTCCTCCTCAGCAGCCGCCGCCGGTGCCGCCGCCTCCCTCCTTCCCGCCCCGCCCCGCCACTGCGCAGGCGCGGCGCCTGGCCCCGCCTCTGCGCAGTCGCAGCCCTGGCCGGCCGCGCCCTCTTCACGCACGCGCACTGCGCACGCTCCCCGACAGAGTCCCGGGCGAGCGGGGCCGCCGTGGCCCTGAAGAGATCCGAGCGGTTCCGCTGGCCCGACGGAAGGGAGGCGACGGCAGGCTGCGGAGCTGCGCCCTGGAGGTCAGCGCCGGGCGGAAGTCACCTCCAAGCTCCGGGAGCCCGACGTTTCGGGCGGAACCGGGTAGCGGCTCCTGATTCGGATCCGTAGGGCGCACCCTGGTCGCCCGCGCGGCCACTCCTCCGGCCTCAGTTTCCAGTGGCTGAAGGAGCCCGGGGCGCCGGAACTCAGCTGTACGCAATTCAGAACCAGACTCAGGTTTTTCCAGTTTGGGTGGATGCCCACCTGCCCTTCCCGGTGCGCTGCCACCGGCATCCTTACTGCAGACTCATAGGGATTGCTCCATCCCTGTTTCTCTGGCTTTCCCCAGTAACCCAGGGTGGCCCCAGAGTAACCGAGGATACCCTGCGTGTGCCTCCCTAGTCCAGTTTTATGTGGTGCCGAGACTCGAGCCCAGGGCTTCGCACATGCTACGCAAGCGCTCCACGAGCTGAGCCCCACCAGCCCCTTCTTGCTGAATTCATACACTTCCAGCCCTTTCCAGTCAAGCTCCTGTTGGGATACTGCTGTGTTCTTTCCTACTCTTTACCCATAAAAAGCAGCCCTGGTGTTTTAAAAAAAATTACAGATGCCTACCGAATTCTAAGTCCAAATTAGTTTTTCCTTCTGAGCCACTCCTCGTAGTAACACCTTGAAGTTTGTTGTGCAGCGTGAAATAATAGTTAAATGCATACACAAATTTATACGTGTATTCAAGTACACATATGTATGTGCCTTGCGCATGCAAAAATCCTTCTGTCAGTCCTTTAACTGCCTCACAGAGTGGTATTTCGTCTGATGGCTGTACTATTCCTTAGCCACTCTGCTGCAGATCTGTAGATTCATGCAGTTTGTCATTTTTTGTTATTCAAGGTATTACAGGCCAGGTCCTTGAACAGCAAATGGAGTGTCTGGTGCAAGCCTCGAACTGCTTTTCCAGAAGCAAGCGTGGTGATGTCAGATGCGCGTGAGCCTGGAGTCAGAAGGTACCTGCTGAAGAGAGATGCTGTGGCATGCATTCTTGATGGAACTCCTGGGTCTGGGCAAGTTAATGCCATCCCTTTGACCAGCAGGTTTAAGAAACAGAGGGAAGGACTGGAGAGATGGGGCAGCAGTTAGGAGCACTGACTGTTCTTCCAGAGGACCCTGGTTAAATCCTCAGCACCCACATGGTGTCTCACAACCGTCTGGAACGCCAGTCTCAGGATCTGTCTGTCCTCTTCCAGCCTTGGCAGGCACTACAGACACATGTTTAGACACACATTCAGACTTTCATACACATAAAATAAAAACCTCAAAAAATAATAAGAAAAAACAGATGGAAAGGAAGAGGCAGTGGTGGCACACACCTTTAATCCCAGCACTCAGAAGGCAGAGGCAGAGAGATCTCTGTGAGTTCCAGGACAGCCAGGGCTACACAGAGATATCCTGTCTTGAAAAACAAAACAACAGCAAAAACATCTTAGGGTAGACTTGGGAGAAGCGCCCCGGTCTCCCTGACCTGTGAAGCAGTCGATCCCATCTGCACACCTGCTCCCAGGTCAGGAAGGCCGAAGTTTTGATGCCAACTTTGAAATCCACCCCTGAAAAGCTTTTGGATAAGCAGTGTAGCCTTGTCTCAGAGCCTGTTTCCTCACAGAGTAGGACTGTCTGGCCTGTGCCTGTGACAACAGTGAGGGATGCTAGTCAGTTATCATTGAGCCGTTTCCTATGTAGACTTCCACAATTTCCAAGGCAGCAACCTGGTGACACGCTGACAGATACTCCGGGAAAGTAAAGCAGAATTGACCACAGGGAGAAGAGAGACCCAGGTTTGTCCCAGGTGTCATCCAGCACCCAGTACATCTTAACTGTAACCATTTAATAGTTACTTATCCTGTAACTATTTAATGGCTTCTTACTATTTACTATACCCCATGTTGTAGAGGATAATACTGAAAATTTTCCCTCCAAGAATTTACAGACTCAGCAGAGCTCAGCAGATACACTCATGAGGAATTACAAGTGAATGAATTGGAACAGTTGTCAGGTCTCCACCTAGACTTCAGAGGAGACAAACTGCCTGTTAGCAGGAGTGATGGACGGAATGTAAAAAAATAAATTAATAAATGAACAAAAAAAAGTGATGGGAAGGATTCCAGCATAAAGATGTCATGGTGACACCAGAACAGAGCTGGGCTTTAAATACCAGCTACTGAATTTAGACAGCCTGGGAGAGCCATGGGGGAATTCCCTGAGGCCAGAATATGCTTCTGGAACCCCAAAACTGAGTCTCCCAGCATATTCTCTGGGAATCTGTCCCATGTCCTGAGCTGTGTGTGACTAAAGAGCCTTTCAGCTCCTCTTCTACCTGAGAAGCTGCAAGAGTCAACAGGAGTTCCCCAGCAGAGCTACATAGCTACATGGCAGACTCTTAGCAGCGGCTGCCAGATAGAGCTAGCTGCAGGGCTGGAAGTGTGAAGGGGGAGGGGCAGGTACCAAAAAAAAAACAAGAAAAAGTGACAGCCAGACAAAGCTTCTTTTAAAACATCACTTCACCTGGCAACTGGATTCATGCAGCAAATTCAATCATTTGATTCATTCATTAATTCAATAAATACGGGTGTGCTTATTAAATGCACCCAGAAGCAAAACACCACCCACATCTTCAAGGTGGGGGAAGCAAGTCAGTAATTCAACAACTAACGGGGGCTGGAGAGATGGCTCAGTAATTTACAGGCACTTGCTCTTGCAGAGGACCAGGCTTGGTCCCCAGCACCCACATAATAGCTAACAATGTCTGTAACTCCAGTCCAGGGACAACTGTTACCTCTTAACTACTATAGACATGCAGACATACGTGCAAATCACTAATGCATCGTTTTTAAAAAGTAATATTAAGAAAACAATGTTAACACAAACAATTATTGGGGCCTACTTTATGCCTGGCACTGGTCTAGCAGCCAGAGACTTAGCAGTAAGCAAAATTCGGAAATCTACTTTCAGACTGTTCTGGAATATGGACCGAGGGTCAGAAGAAAAGTACAGCAGATAAGGGGCAGGAGCCAAGGAAGCTCAGGGTGGTAGGCCTCTGTTCTTCAAGTTTGGCAGTAAACAAAAGCAGGTGATAAGCAGGGAGGCAGAGGACGACATGGTGTGCATTTCAGGACTAAGAGTTGCTGAGTGGTCCAGGAGGAGGATGGGGAAGAAGGGTGGGACCTCGAAGTGAGCTGTGCTGGGTTTGGGTCAGCACAGGAGAGGCCTGGGTGGGGCTGTGATATCCAGGTAAAATCAAGGGCCGTAGGCTGTGGTCATGCAAGACAGTGGACGTGAACGTAAAAGCCACGCCAGGCTGTGTGTGCACTCTAGGCAAGCACTCTACCAGCTGGGCTACGTCACCACGCTGTGCTAGTTTCTTCTAATATTATTATTATTGTTATTATTATCTTTGTCAAGACAGGGTTCCTCTGTTTAGCCCTGGCTGTCCTAGGACTTGCTCTGTAGACCAGGCTGGTCTCAAACTCACATAGATCCACCTGCCTTACCTCCCTAGTGCTGGGATTAATGGCATGAGCCACCACTGCCTGGCTGACTATTCTCTAATGAATACTTCTGTTGTGATTTCCAGAATGTAAGTGTCCACGGGTAAGATACACAAATATCCTATGGAATCCGATATTTTTGAAGTGTAAATGGGTCCTGAGGCCAAGGACACATCAGACACTGCCATGCCCCAGCCGCCCACCTCTCTTTGCGGTGGGACTCTCAAGTGGTACGAAGGATTATGCGCTGCTGTCTCGGGGAATAAGGTGCTGTTCTGAGAGACTTGTAGGCATTGGCTCTTCTGTCACCATCTTAGAAGCCACACTAAACAGGGTTTGGGGACTCACTCTGGCATACTCAATTAGATCTCATCCAGAAACGCTACTGACAATACTCCTTGAACCAGCTCTTCCTAGGCTTTAACATGGTAGTCCCTCCCCCCAGCCTCCAAAGGCAGGGGAGCCCCCCTAGCAGAATCCAGGAAGGCAGCTCAGAACCACCCAGGGAAGCACACAGTTCTGCCTCTTGTGCAAAGCGGAGACCCTCGCTCCAGAGCCACATGCAAACCCAGGTGCTCATTTTGTTAAAGCCATTTTCCAAGTCATTTTTATTGAATAGCGCTGAGACTTGGTGATGAGAGAATCAAAAAATACAGGTTTCTTCCCCCAATTCTGCCAGCCGGCCACATGACCTTACAGACCTCCTTGCCATGGGCACCTCAGCTCTACTCTTCCAAAATAGGGAGCACGGTGCTAATGTGGGGAGTGACTAATCCTTCCCTGCCCTATACTGGCAAAGGCAGGCATCACCATCACAAGCATGTCTTCCAAATACACCTTAAGTTAACAGCTTTGCAGACTGTGGCATCAAGGAATGGAAGGCGCATTGAAAAAGGTGTTCTGCCCGCCTTGTGCCCTGCCTTGCATGACGACTGGCTGTCTTAGTGTTCTGTTGCTGTGAAGAGACACCATGACCACAGAAACTGTAAAAAATATTTATTTGGGACTTGCTTACTGTTTCAGAAGTTTAGTCCATTGTCATGGTGGGAAGGATGGTGACACACAGGCAGACATGGTGCTGCCAGAGTAGCAGAGTTCCTATATCCATATCCACAGCCAGCAGAAGAGAGACACTGGGCCTGGCTTGGGCCCTTAAACCTTAAATCCTAACCCCAGACACTTCCTCCACGAGGCCACACCTCCTAATCCTTTTCAAGTAGTTCCACTCCCTGGTGACCAAGCATTCAAATCTATGAGCCTACGGAGCTATTTTTATTCAAACAACCACACTGTCCACATGAGAACCTCCTGCGTGCCTAGCTTTGGGCAGAGTGCACCATTATCATTCAATGCAGATTGCAAGCCTGGTGGCCATGCAGCCTATGTCAAGCAGGGCAGGAAGGGCTCAAAGATGACTGCAGAGTCCTGTATCTCAGACACCCGGAGCTGAAGAGCATCTCCTGCGGCATCACATATAGTCACAGTTTTAAAAGTTAGAACACGTGACAGTCCTTTTAGACTGGTCCCAGGGTTGGGGGCAGATGGTCCTGGCCCACATTATACTTCCCAGCACTACAGAAAGCTAAAGCCTGGGGATCTGAGAAAGAATTGACAGTGAAGTGCCTGCAACCCAAGCATAAGGTTCCCTCAATGTGACAGCTTGTGGCTATAATCCCAGCTCTGGAGAAGTGGAGATAGGAGCTCTCAGGCTGAATCAAAGAACTCCAGCTTCAATGACAGGACCCTGTCTCAAAAAACAAACAAGATGGAGAGCAATTTAGGAAGACACTGTGTGTAGCTTCTATGTACACACACACCACACACATATATGCATATAGACATATATACATACTTTACAACAAAAGTAAAATTCCTTTTTTCTTATTGTTCTTTTTTTTTTAAGATTTATCTATTATGTATACAGTGTTCTGTCTGCATGTGTCCCTGCAGGCCAGAAGAGGGCACCAGATCTCATTACAGATGGTTGTGAGCTATCATGTGGTTGCTGGGAATTGAACTCAGGACCTCTGAAAGACCAGTTAGTGTTCTTAACCACTGAGCAATCTCTCCAGCCCCTTATTTTTTTTTAAGATGGAGTTTGACCCCATAGTTCAGATGAGCTTGAATTTATAGCATTTCTCCTGCCCCAGGGCCCCCAAGTTTGGGAATATATGCTATTATTTTACAACTTACTGCTCTGCTTAGAAAGACTTGAACAGCCTCATATAACTACACTTAGAGCATCCCTGGCTGGGCGTGCTGGTGCACCCCTTAATCCTAGCTCTTGGGAGGTAGAGGCAGGCAGACATCTGGTTTCGAGGTCAGCCTGGTCTACAGAGGGAATTCCAGGACAGCCAGGGCTATACAGAGAAACCCTATCTCAGAACAGCCCCCCAAAGAAACACACACACACACACAAACCCCAAATCATAAGCATCTCCAAATGCCTACCTTGTTTCAAAATCCATCAGGAAAACCTCTCCAAAGCCAAAATCTCAATCTCTGCTGAGCCTGTGTCTCCTGGTGAGCCCTGTAGAAAAGACTTACTTGCAAGGTCTCAGCCATGCCACGAGATCCCATTCCACAGATCTTGACCAGTTTTCCAGAGGCTCCAAGTTCAAGGGTTGTGGACACTCGGTTTAGACAGCTACCTTTGTGATCAAGGCTATACCACTTTGTCATTGATTTGGGGACCCTCTCTCTCCAAAGACTTCCCCAGGCAGTAACCGCTGCAAATGAGGTGAGAAATTGCTCTGCTTGCTGCTGCAGAGTCCAAAAAACCTGGGGTTGGCAGAGCCCTGGGCCAGTCATCCAAAGCTGGCTCATGGTTTCATCCAGGGGCCTCCACTGCCTTTTTTTCCTGTGAGTGCCAGGGCAGGAAAGTTCTGGAAGCATTGCTCTGAAGAGCAAAAATGCTGAAGCCCAATCCACTGCAAGGTGAGAGGATGACACTGCCATTTCTTAGCCATATAACGAAGGGTGTGTGGTCAGTGTACCCCAATTTCCTCCTCTGGGGCTGAAGAGACGGTTCAGCAGTTAAAGGTTACCCACACTGGCTGTTCCTCCAGAGGGCCCTGGCTTGGTTCTCAGCACTCACACAGTGGCTCACAACCATCCTTAAGTCCAGTTCCAGAGGACCCTACGTCATCTTACCCTCTGTGGGCTCCAGAAATGTGTGTAGTGTGCAGGCATATATTCAGGCAACACACACACAAATGTAATTCTAAAAAACGAGAGTCCCTAGCTCACAGGCTGCTTCAGTGAAATGCTGAATGATACCTAAGGGGGAGCTGAGAACATTCTAAATTCCTCATTCTACAAATGAGGAACTGGGTATGCTCAGCAGTTGCCAGCCGCCAGGACAGTTTTCTGCTCCTGAGGAGCCCAGCTCCACTTCCTCCAAGGCTTGTCTGGGCTGTTTCCAGGGCTGCAGTGCCTCCAGACAGGTCCTTTTGGCCTGCCTACTGTTGTGCTGTGAGTCTTTACCATCGGATTTCCTGAGAGCCTTCACCCGCCCAGCAGACAAGAGGTGTGTGATGCAGCGTGCTCCAAGAACTTTGAGTCATGTCTGTGACAACCTCCAGCCATCTATTCTGAACACAGTG